AAAAGGTCCTAAATTAACCTTAAAAAATCACTGTATAGGATGGATAAAATTCCTGATTTGGATACAAGCAACCTAATTTTCCCAATGCAAAAAGCAACTGGCCCTAGTCTTTTACTTGAATAAGATTTTGCATGATAATTAGACTAAGTTAATTTAGTACCCTTGCCCCTTAAATTTAAAACTGATCATTCTTTGTTGTATATCCTTTACTCTTTTCAATTTGAGTTGAAATTTTACCCTCTTTTGTTTCACCCACTTGTACAATTTACCCCATTTCTTCTGAAATTCTGGAGAAAAATTGTCAAAAACATTTTATTTACAATTTCTTGTTTCCATCCAGTACTACATGTACAGTGTACTGTCATACATTTGGACATTCTTGTATGTGTCTGCTTTTAACTGGTTCAGACATGTACCTGATATATACATGTGTATGAACATCCACAGTATACCTACCACTGTGTCATTTCTGGAATATTTCTAAAGAGATCACACTCTCTATTTCTGGTTTTGAAAGCAGGAATATTTCTGAGGAAATTTAACTTGTGCAATTAAAAAAGCACTAGATCAACTCTTCTATCTTTCAATGTTTTATATATACATCAAGACACTAATTTCTTCACAAAATCTGGCACAGTTTTGTCTTGGACCTATTAAACAGATTTTTAACAGAAAAATTTGTCTGAAAGGATTTCAGAATTCAAATTTCAACTTTACCTGGAGTCAAAGTGTCTTCTGAGCCAAACAGCCTTATGTTGGGTAATGGTAACCAGATATATTTTACTTGGCCAGACTTACCTTGTGGTTCGGCCCAGAGTACCTGTGGACAGTTCTCCTGTTTGACCCATATCGGTCGTGTCCAGCATATCTTTCTCCTTGATTCGTTCCATGTTGGCCTTGAGCGTGGAACTTTTGGCGCGGACCTCCGCTTTGGAAGCCTGTTCTTTGATCCAGTTAAGATGGTCCTTGTCCATGGAGATGTCCAGCGTGGGAACCATCTTATCTTTGTTATACTTGGTGAAATCCCTACTCTGTAAAGTCTCGTACATCAGAGTGGTATCGGTTAATGGAGTTTCTGTCCTATTGAGCGGTGACCTTGCCCTTCTTGGTTTAGGCTTTGGTTTCTGGACACTTTCGGCTAAATGTTTGTCACTGTGTTTCTCCTCCGTTTGGTCCTTCCTCTTCTGCGGCGGAGCGGTGTAAAATTTTGTTTGACTGAGCTTGGATGTTCTCGTTGACTTCAGAGTTCTCGGTGTGAATGGTTTCTCGGGTTCAGTAAATACATGTTTCCTCGTGGCAAGTATGTCGCCATCCTCAACCTTTCTGTTGTGTGCTGCCCCCTGAGCCAATGCTGACCTTGACACCCCACTAGCAGCTGATCGTACGGATCTAGCAGATGAGGGCCTCTTGGGATAGCCAGATCTATTGACTTGCTGATGGGAATAGGCCTGGTAAAGGTAACCTTGGGGGTCTGGCTGCTGATAGCTTCGACCTTCACTGTAGTAGTTTTGACCTTGACCTTGACTTTGTCCATTATTGGCATCATAGGATAGTGAACCGCCGTATGTTGCCTCAGTACTTTCTACCCTGTCTTGCCTGTTGGATTTTAAAGTTGTCTTCATAATGTCCAAAACTAAACGATCATCATCATCTTCAGGATCAAAGTCATTCTGAAGCAGAAATAATGGTTTCTTTTGTGAAAATCTTGGCACTTTTAATGTCAAAATTATTAAAAGCTTAAAATAAAATTTTAAAAAATGAAACTATCAGGATATAAATGAAATTAAGAAAGGAACTGCACTGTAAGCTCTCCGAGCTGAACTCTAGGAAACTGAATAAACAACTTTTCAACAACAAGGTTAATGTATATATCCAAATTAAAAACATGTAGGCAGAATCTGTCTATTGTTATGATCAACAAATTAAGTACCTAAGTATGTATACAAGTTAAATTTGGTAACTAGACATGTTACACTGACATACGTGTATATTATGATGAGGCAGTTGAGCATTTTTATTACACACACAGCTTGAAGCACTTCATAAAATTTCAGGTTATTCCTTGGTCTAATCATACATCAGATCATATCAATTTGTTTTTTTAAATTTAGAAAATTCATTTCTGAGACAAATTCATCACTGATTTATTTTCAGGTTATTTCTTGGTCTAACGGGTCATATCAAAAATTTAAAGTAAGAAAATTCATAAATTCCAAGATTAATTAATGACTGATTAAATTTCAGGTTATTCCTCAGTCTTATAAGATCATATGAATTTTTTTTTTAATTCAGAAAATACATTTCCAAGATAAATCAATCACTGATTAAATGTCAGGTTATTTCTTGGTATTATCAGATCATATCAATAATTTTAAATTAAGAAAATTCATTTCAGAGATAAATCTTTGCAGCCCATTCTTAGTCTTACCAGTGCTGCCTGGTCATCCATTCCGTCCATGTCGTCGTAATAAACATTTCTGGAAGTGGGACGGACGTTCATGCTGGAGCCAGGACGTACACCAGTCTTCTTCACATAGTCTCGAGTCTTCCTGTCACGAGCTATAGTATAATGGAAGCAAGGTGTTCATTGTATCACAGGCCCAGAAAAATGTGTAAACATTAATGATTTTGATAGAGATCTTTAGGCTTGAGAGACTGGAATTTTCTCAGTTTAAAGGCAACAGAAAAGGAATAACCTTTTTCTTAACATCTGAAATACATTTTCTATTTCATATTTAGATCGCTCTTTTATTTTATCATAATACATCATTTAAAAGTATATGGCTACCTGGTGCTAAACACCAATTAACCTAATTGAAAAATTTCAGATATTGTTGCATACTTGTTTCACTTCAAAATCTGGTCCAAAAAGACCAAAATAAAAATGTGTAAATAACTTGCATTTCCTTTAAAACCATCACCAATTTAATAGATAATATAAGAAAAAACCATAGGAACAGTTTTTCCTCAAGATAATTTTGATCTGCTTGTCCTTTTTCACCTACCTTTCTGACTGGTTGCCAACACCTTTGGTGGTCTGTTATCTATGGCAGCTAGATAAAGGGAAAATACAATAATTCATTAATTTATCAAGACTAGAAAAAGCAAACATGAAAGAATGACTATCTTGTTTATAGTGATATTTTCTGGGTATATTTACTTCCACATAAATATGTTTCTCAAATATAATTTACTATCTTTCCACACATTTAACTCCCCATTTTTTTCCTTTCTTTGTTGGTGGCAATCGTGAGTTATATCAATAGAACTAATTGGATTTTCTAAAACTTCTTGCCACATTTCAAATCATGACATTAAGGGATGTATTTGTTATTATTTGCTTGGAAATAATAAGGGAGGTAATAAGTGGAATACCTACAATTGCAATGCTATGTTTTGAAAGTTAGCTAATGCCAGGTGTTGCTTTACATCCACTGGAAGTGGTGAGATTAATTGTTTTCACTCGTAAACTCATTATTGAACATAGCTATCGTTCCTAAAAATAAATACTACTGATGATGTCTTCGCTCAATAGGAGAGATTGTTCACAAGCTTAAAATGAAAACGATAAATATGTATCTCATAGTATCATCAGTCCAAAGAGATGTAAACCCAGTCATGGTCTTTCACCACATGTTCACAGTAACATATATTTCTAGAGACATTTGGTCTGGTGCTCCTGCCAGCACCTAGCTTTACAGGACTTACTCACTACCTGGCAATTTCGGGGGAAAACCTTATGGCAGTCCTGTCCAACTTACATCTGGCATTGACAATTTTGCTGTAATGGTTATTCATGTGGTCCAGCACAAGGTACTGAGTAGTCAGTTTGGCCGAGGTCGGGGCCAGCGCTGAAAACATGACAAAGTTTTTAATGAAATTTATCTGAATTGATTTTCATGTCTTCACAAGAACTAGCCTATACAGGTATCATATATATATATGCTAATCACAAGTTTTTTAAAACTACATTTAATCACACTTATCTTCAATTGAGCTATTCTTCAAAATCCAATTCTGATTCTAGTACACAAGGAAAGTATTTATATTCTTTCACCAGTGTTTATTTATATAATATAAACCATATAATATCAGGATTTTTTTTTTCAAGCAACACTTTTACAAACAATAATGGTATATTACCACTGCTCCGCAATCCAAGCTGGCCCTTCATTGCTGTCATGTTGGATTTGGCCTGCATCCCTTCAAAAAAAAAAAAAACCAACCATTCAATATCTTCAACTTTTCTGTACTTGTATTTTAGTACAAATCTTCATAAGACTAATAAAATCTTTCACCCCCTTGGGGGTGAAATAGAGGGATCTCAACCAGAGGGGAAGATTCTTAAGTTGCCAAACACGAGGCTGTGCCGAGTGTTTGG